AAACGATGCTTATCTAATTTTGAAAATTTTTCTTATTTTCTATTCCTAACAATTTTTGAAGCAAAAAAAATTGTTTTCTAAAAATGTAGCAAAAAACCTTAATTTTGATCTTCTTTTTCTTCCTGTTTCTCTCTCGACAAGTATGACCAGACTTCTTTCATAGATTCTTGGTTCTCTAAAAGAAAAAAATTAGATATATAATCAAATATAAAGTGTGGTTATTTTTTTTTTTTCAGTGGACAGAAATTTATCAAAGACCACTTAAAGGAGGACGATGTGTTATGTTATTGGAAGCTTTTGCTGCAAAATTATACGAAACTCTTACGTTATGTAGTCGTAAAGGACAACAGCTTAATGAAAATCGACAAAGAAAATTTTGATTTTTCACTATGACGTCATTTAAATTGAAATCTAGCAGTTACTACTCAAGAAACGTTAAAGGAATTGATAGAAAAAAAAAACAGATATGCTGCTTATTAAGCAATTTTTGCAAGATTTATTGAACATTAAAAAATTTTTTGAAATGGTTCTGGTATTAAAGTTTTACTGGCGATAAGTGTCGTCAAGGAAATATTACCCATTGATATTACCACTCAAAGTGAATTGTTGAAAGTGTGTGGTTTTTTTTTTTTTTTAAATAATAGATTCTGTGACAAATTCCTCTACGGCTTTTTAAACTTATTTGGATTGGAAATGCTATTATAGATGATATCTGTCATGTAGGTTAAAGAAATCAATTGAAAATTTACAGATTATAGTTGTCAAAGATAATGTTTGACAGATGCCAATCTGTTATTGATGTTACAAACTAATAAACAATACTCGTAGAAACAAAATACTGGAAACAAATTGTGAAATAAACTTGTAAAGTTCAGAGCTGATAATCTACTGAAGAGCTAAGAATCAACTGTTAAGTTGCCAAGACAGGTTTTCAAAAAGATAAATTTATTTTGCTTTACAAAAACATCTAATTTATTTTTGTGTTACAACGAATGCAAGGGTAGAAACCATAAATTAAAAATGAAATCTGGGTACAAATAAACTGTATAATCGTTGCTGAACTCGGCACATAAACTGATTTGGTCACTGCTGAATGCACTTCTATAGTTCTAAGTCTAAATCTGATCGTATCAATTTTGAATAAGATTTTCTTTGGCCGTCATTACTTTCATTATTGTTTGTAAAAGTTACCGTTTGATCTCTCTTCATTTTTTTAATTAAACCTAGAAAAAATTAAATTTTTTTTTTGCAAGCAAAAAGCTGTCTGAAATCCTAAACAAAAACAAATTTTTTTTTATCTTGTTTTTATAAAAAATCAATTATCATTTCTTCTTATACAATTTTTTCTGTAATCAAAAATTACTTTTTTTTTTTTCATCTAGACACTATACTTATTGTCTCGGGACTTCACATTATAGGTTTCAAAGTTGGTCAAGACGAATATCTTGAAAAAAAGAGCACTTAATTAAACAGTTAACAGAATAACGTTTTTTATTTGTTAGAGAAAACAGTAAATGTATAAGTGTGCATTTAACGGAATATTAGGAAACATAAGTTCGCTTAAAACTCATTCAAAGAAAAATGAAAAAAAAAAAAACCAAATTTTGGCAAATAAGTGAGTATAAATATGTCGGACACTTACTGTTAAACTTTATTGAACTGACCTTTGTGAGCGCAGCAAAAACTATTTTGGCAGTTGGAGACAATGCATCGATATGGTGGTGGGCACTTGTATCCTTGACTGGTATCACCGCAACTAAGTGGTTCCTGATCTGGTTCTGTACGTTTAACCAGCCAACCTGATGGGCAATAATCATCTGCAAGTCAATAGCAATATAAATTACTCGCTACCAGTTTTACTAATGACAATAACAAATTAGTAAATTTAGCTTCAAATGTTGCTGTATGATAGCAATATGTGACATTGTGCAGAGTTCAATAAAGCGTTTATTACAGATTTTTTGTTTTTTTAGACTTTTGATTGTTTATTTGACAGATAAAAGGTACAATAAGAATAAGCTATTTAAAGATCTAAAGCTTTATTGCACTTTTTGTTTTGTTACATACACTAAACACCATAATAAGTATCATCTGAAAAAAAAAAAAACTGACTTAAAGAACTTACCAGAATTACAGGTTGATGCCAGAGAAGTTGATGCAAAAAAGCTAAAGATGAGCAAAAAATACATTTGCCAATAAAAGAAAGCAGAATGAACACAGGCAAAACTAAGAACAATCACTTCGAGAGCTAACTAAGGGTACACGTTGCAAGATTTTATCATTTAGATGACCTCAAAAAATAACATGATAATCTATCGTACAGATGTGTTGCTATTTTTTCTGTCCCTCTTAGTAACTTTCTTTCGCATATTCACCAGATAATTTTATGAAACGTTTTCACCGTCTTCAACAGTTGTTATTTTCGCTGTTATAAAATCTAATTTGTTGAATGTGTTTTTGCAAATTCAATTTCTGTAAACGGTAATGACGATTAAGAAAAAAATAATTAGTTTTATTAGTGAAGAAAAAAAACCGTTTTTGTTTGCCAATTTTAAACAGCTAATGTTCAACAACTGTTAAAACTATATCAATTCTTAATTTCTTTTATTGTTATTGTTTAGCTAAATTCATATCTTTCTATTTTGCACCAGTTTTTAAACTAAACTGATAGTGCGCAGTAAATGAGTATAAAACTGCTCAATGGTTTAGATCAGAAATAGCAGGGAAAAAACTTAAAGACCAGAATAATTGTGCTCTTTAGACAGTGACTTTTTTCTCGTGATTAAACTAAAAAAAAAGTGAAATTAATAAACTGTTTAATAAGCTACAAATTACTGTCAACTGTTTTTTATTTTTATTCTTTATTTTTGCTTTCTTTTTTTTTTTGGATAATTATAAGCTGTAAAAAAAATGCAAAAAAAAAAAATTTGTTTCTGGGGTGGTGCTGCGCTTTTTTGTTCTTAATTCAGTAATGATAGGAGCTGCGTTATATCACCAGGAAAATTCATTTTCACAATCGATATGCTGCTGGAGAAAACTCTTTGCTTTCTATTTTGCCTTTTTACGAATTAAGAGGAAGAATGGTAAGATTTGTTATCTTATCAGGATGAACTTTAAAAACAAATATTAAACAATAAGCATTATGCAAAAAAAAAAAAAAAACATTGAAAGAGGGAAAACCAACGGGCAAATACTGCAATAAAGGCAAAAAGTCGAAAAGAAATGCAGTTAAATAAGATAACCAATCTAAAACAATTATCTATTGGTGCTTGTGAAATACGTGAAAAGCAGCAAAAATAATTGAAAATATTACTGCAGAAATTCTGCATATTAAAAAGTTTGATGCTTTTCAGTCATAAAACAAATTAAAATTCTATAGAAAGCTTGCCAGCTAATGAAAAAAAAAATCAAATTTCACGAACCAAATGTACACTCTCCACTATCATCTGTATTTGTTGCATCAGCTTCATCGAAAACAGACTTTCTTTTGCTTCTGTACTTAAATGATCATCATCAGTTTGTTGATGTTTCTTTCTCGATCGGATAGTTCACAGCTTGTAGGATAAAATAGTTTTAAGTAAACATACATGTCTAAATAATAA